GCAGTTTCTTTGCACCAACCAATTAAGAATAGAAATGGATGTCTAAATAAGGAATTCCAACAAGTGATATGCAACTAGAATTTGAAATAATCTCTTGAGTATAAAAGCAACATCAAATCGCTATTTTCGTCATTATCTGAGAATCTGTTGTCATGGTGATTTTGAAATTCAGATAAAATAGGGTTTTCCTGTTTTCTTGACACTCACTTTTAGACATTTAAATTATCCCCTCAGCTACCCCAACCCACTCCCCAACCACTGCATCTGCCACCACGACATGAACCTTCATTTACCATGTGTTTGCTTGCTTTACCATGCCATGGAATTATCTCCCAATATTCCAAATCCCTCCCATCTACCCCACATGAAGTGACAACTGAAAAAATTAAATATTATTAGTAATCTAGTTGAAAAGGCCAGGCACTGATTAATGTTTCATTAGAGGATTTGCTGATTCCTTTCCTCAAGCAACTTCCAGAAAACTGCCAAACTGAAAAAATACGCAATAAGATCATTTGGTCTTCGCTTCCTTAGATGAATGTACTGCTCTTCCATTCTGCAACCCGATTGGCATCGTTTCAGTCCATAATGCCTAATATTCCAAAACTTCCTACTTTCACTAATTAAGTAGAAAGATTTATCTGTTTATGACCTTTTACACAAACTCTTCCAGTAACCTCTCGATTGTGTCTCATATGACTTCTAAACCAGCCAGTTCAACTACAAAAATATTATTTGTAAAGTTAAGAATTCGCAAACTCATTAGTACGCAGTATCCGACTTTGTTGTCACAAACTAAAATGAGATTCCGATATTTTTGAAGGTTTATAAATAGCCATACCAAGTCAGTTTCTTTAGAAGTTTCGGATCAGATCAAAACATGTCATCTAATTTTGCTATAAGTGCATAACCAAGGAAATCACATTTTAATCAGCAACATGTAACTCTAATGGGTGATCTCCGTAAACGTCGACTTATTGAATGCCTTTGTACGATTTACTATGTTTGGGTTCATTAACCCAAAATAATAATGAGTCTCTAAACTCGCTGATATGGACTTTCGCTCCACAGCATATCCATTCCGGGTCTCAGATCATTGAAATTGCAACATTTATTGCTGTGTGTATTTTTAATGAAGGCTTTATACCAATATTGAAGATGATGACGATAATGGGAGTGAAAATTGGTCCAGAAGCGCATGCATTCGCTATCAGACGAGACAACGCCCGGATTGACCGCTCCGAGATACGAGCATCCAGCACATCAAAGGAGGCCAGAACTGCTCGAATAGAAAACAGAAACGCCAAAAATAGTTTTTTCGAAGTCGAGGAAGGTCCGGATGCATGCAGCAGGAATGGCAGATTGAATAAGCGTAAGTCAAAAATATAATTTTATGACTTAGACTACAAAAAAATCT